TAATATGTGTTGAGATATAGGGGTCTAGTTTTACTCTTCTGCTTGTGGAGATTCCATTTTTCCAGCACCATTTTTTGAAGAGATTTTCCTTTTCCCAATGTGTGTTCTCATACCTTTGTTGAAAATCAGTTGACTGCATGTTCTCATGCATGTGGAAGCAAAAAACATTGATCTCATAGAAGTAGAGTAGCATTGTGGGTACAAGAGGCTAGGAAAGGTGATTGGCTACTGGGGTAGAAAATTCCAGTTAATAGGAGGAGTAAGTTCTAGTGTTTTATGCCACAGCAGAGTGACTACAGTTAACAATAATTTCTTGTATATTTCAAAATAACTAGAAATATTTGAGGTGTTGGGTAGACTAATTACCCTGATTTGATCATCACACATTGTATATATGTAATGGGATATCAAATTCTACCTCATAACTATGTATAATTATTATGTATCTATTTAAAACAAAAACCTTTCTGTGGCCTAGGTTTGGCCCAGGAGCTAGCTAAAATTTTAGTGCATAATTCTCTTGTCTTCTTAGCCATTAAAGCAGACACCTTAAGCAATTCTAGGCATAGGGAGCCTTGCCACACCTCCTCATCTATCATAAGGTTTCATAGTCTTTGTATTTCTTCTTCTTAGCAGTTATATACATACAGTCTACCTTTGTGTATAATGATTTGATTTAAAAATTTGCCTCTTCCCTGAAGTTTCCATAAGCTCTATATGAACAGGTGCTTGGTCTGTTTTTACTAGTTGATCATTGATCAATGAATAAGTGAAGTAGACAGGAGGAACTAATCTTGAAATGTATTCTATAGTAAAGACAGGAACGTGAGAATAGCATCTCACTTGGAATTCTGTGTTGAAGGATTCAATCCAACAGCAAGTTGTTTTGTCTGCACTGTGTGAGAAAAGATTTCGCCCCCACTAAATAGACATTTTAGTGCTATCTACATTTGCCTATCCCAAAGCATATTCCAGAGAGCATCAGCATTTGCAGCATAACACATTGATGTCAGTATTTATTTGTATTTAGTAATCCCAAAAGTTCTTATAGCTTGATATTTTAGTCTGAGCTAATCCTCTGGACTTACTGCTCTTCGTGGGAAAAATATAAACACTGCTTCCCTTGGAGAGTTAGTAGAAATACATTTTTTTAGTTTGGAATTTATATTCCAAACTAAATTATTTTAAATTATTTTAGGCTCTGCAAAAATGGGACAGTTGAAGTAGAAAGTGTAAGGATCACTAGCTCCAAAAGTTTCTGTTGAAAAAGGAAATAAAATGTCAACAATAGTTCCATCAAGTGAAAGCTGAAAGGTCTACTGTTGTAGTGAAGCCAGATAAAGTGATATATTACTAACACAGAACAAGCTCACCTTTTCTATGCCTGGAGCTCTGTGATGATAGCTGACGCCGGGAAAGTGAAAAACAGCAGAGGAGAGGAGGGGAAGCCACAACTTGTTTGTATTTTGAAAAAGTCTTTAACTGTGCTGAACTTTGTCCTCTCCATTTTTATCTGGAAATAAGTTGCAGAAAGGAAAGTCTTATATCTATATGATACCATTTATATAACATTATCAAAATGGCAAAATTATTGATCTGGAGAACAGATAGTGGTGGTCAGGCACAAAAAATGGGGCAGAGAGTCCCATCAGTTTTTGCTTTGTGCATCTTAAAGCTCTGTATTTGGTGTATAGACATTTATGAATATTATATCTTTTTAGTTAATTGAACATTATAAAATGTCCTTTTTAACTCTGTAATATTCTTTGTTATTAATATTGCCACTTTCCTTTGGTCAGGTTAACAAGTACAGTATGTCTTCCTTTCTTTTACTTTTGTTTGTTTGTTTGTTTGCAGTATTGGGGCTGGAACTAAGAGCCTTGTGCTTGCTAGGTAGGTGTAATACCTCTTGAGCCAGCCCCTAGTTCCCTTTCTTTTACTTTATTCTATTTGTGTCTTATTATCTGAAATGCATCACTTACAGGTGGCATAGAGTTTTCATCTTAAGTTTTTTTCATACATCTGACAACTTATGCTTTGTGTGGGGTATTAAGACCCTTCATGTTGAATGAGATTTGTTGATGTGGTTGAAGTTGAGTCTGTCATCCTGTTTGTCTCATCTGTTCTTTGTGACTTTTACTTCTTTCTTCCTTCTTTTGGATTAAATATTTTTCATGATTCAGTTTCTTCTCTTTTGTTGTTTTATTGGTGACAGTATTTTTTGTTTTGTAATTTTTGTGATTGCTTTAGAGTTTATTGTATACATAGTTAAATGATCACATTTACCTTCAAGTGGTATTATATCACTTCACATATGGCACTTACAATACATCTCTCTCTTCCTCCCTGGCCTTTATGTTGTTATTCCAATACATTCTCTGTATATGAATGACGTAAACTTCACACTAAATTTTTATTTTTATTCAGTAATCTTTAAAGACATTTAAATGATAAATGAAAAACTTATTTATTTACCCTTATAGCCACCATTACCTTTGTCCCTTATTCCTTCATTTAGGTTCCTATTTTCATCTGGCAGAAGGAATTCCTTTAGCATTCCTTGTAGGGTGGGTATATTACTGATTGCTTTTTTCAACTTTTGTATATCTGAAAAAGTTTATTTTCCACCTTCATCTTTCCAAGGTAGTTTCTCCTGGATTATGGTGTTTTCTCTTAGTATATTACAGTGTTTCTCCATTGTCTTTGGGCTTACATTGTGTTCTCAGAAATTTGCTGTCATTCTTAGCTTTGGTCCTCTGTACATAAGATGCTCCCTTCCCCAGACTGATTTAAAATATCTTAAGTTTTGTTTTTATTACTGGTTTTCAACTATTAATTATTACATATATATAATTACTAATTTTTCTTGTTTTTCTGCTTTGGAATCATTGAGCTGCTTGCATATGTGGGCTTATAGTTTCTGTCAAAGTTGGATATACTTCATACATACTTTCTTCAAATATTTTTCTGTTCTCCTTTCTCCTCTCTTTTGGAAACTTCAATCATACGTATATTAGAATCTTTGAAGTTTTCCGATAGTTCACTAATACTCTTCTTTTAAATTTTTTCTCTTGTGTTTTTATTTTAGAGAATATCTGTTACTATCCCTTTAAGTTCATTAATCTTTCTTCTGCCATTAATCCTGTGTAGTATATGTTTCATCTCTAGAAATTCAATTTGGGTCTTTAAAATAATCTTCTACGTCTCTACTTAACTATACATGCCTACTAATATTTGATTAGTTGCCAGACATTGTAAAGTTTACCTTTTTGGGTGATGAATATTTTTATAAATACTCTCAAACTTCTAGAATAAGTTTTTTTGGAAAGATTTTGATCTTTTTAGGTGTTAAAAACTTAGTTTGTTGACACCAGAGCCGTTTTTAGTCTAGGGTTAATTGTTTCTTATCTAATGACCTATGAATTATGAAGAATAGGAGTAGATGGGTTTGGGGGTTCTGAGTGAGTATGGGTTTTTTTCCCTCTAATTTGTTCAGTTGGCTTTTTCCCTGTCCTTTAGTAGTTTCATCACATGCGTGTCCTGATCAGTTCCCTGTTAAATACTTAGTCCTTCCTAAGTATCTGTTGCAGATCTCCAGAGGTTTTCTTTCTTTTTCTCTTTCCTGTTTCCTGTGAGCTGATTTGTGAACTCCAGCCACTTTGGTGTCTTGGAACCCTCAGCTCTATCACTTCACCTCAGGGAGTCTGCCCGTTTTGCCTGGCTTCTCCTCTGTACCATGGCCTGGAAACCATGTCAAGATAGTAAGCCAAGTGATGCTTGGGCTCACCTTCTTTGTTTCCCATCCCTCAGGGATCACTCTTCAGCATGGCTTGATATTCAGTATCTTGAAAACAGTAATTTCATATGTTTTGTCTGATGTTTTGTATTTGGTTATTTCAGGTTGGGAGTTGAATTAAATTCCTGTTACTCTATTTTGATTGAAAGAAGAAATCTCAAGATTAGATTGTCTTTTTCTTTATATTTTTAATAACACAATTAATTTAAGGAAAAAGTTATATTTTAACTATTTATGGGTAAGCCAGTTTCTCTATATGCTTGCTTTATTGAAGTGTATGTAGATCTGAAGTGGAGATCATAGAAAATAAAATAGAACAAGCTCCCTTTTCTTCCCCCAAACCTTTTTGTTTTGCTTTTTTGGTAAATTGTTGCTAGCTTGCCTTATAGTCATTGCCCCTTTGTTCTTTTTGGAGAAGGACTCAGAGTTCTATGAATGTACCACTCACAATATATGGAGAATATTATCAATAAAATTGTCTTGGTCTTTATGTTTTAATCTACATGATTAAAAATTTGACAATCAAATATTAGATGAAACATAACCAGGGGACTTGCCTTACTATGTATTAAGTTAAAATTAAGTCTATGATATTTTGTAATGAGTTTATTCAGTATGTGGTGTTGGTATAGTTTGGCCAACTCAATGGAAAAATATCATATCTTATACCCAGGTATATTCCAGATAGGAATATAGTATTTGAAGAAAATACAGGTTACATACTTTTGAAGAAGACAGGTCTTTCTAAGGGTATATAAAGGGTGAAAACATAGTGAAAAATATTGATATAACTGCACAATGATTTTTTGTTTTCTAATGACAAAGAAAGATCATTATGAATAGAGTTAAATGTATGATGACTTATTACTTACTGTATGATGACTTCTCATAAAGTAGTAAAAAAACCCAACCAACCAAACCAAACAAAACAAAAACAGTGAATACCTCACTAGAAAAATGGGCAAAGGTCACCATTAAGTAATCACAGTCGGGTAACAAACATAGGGATAAATTAAAAGTACCTGAAGTTCCACTGCTACTTAACAAACTGATCATTTAGTCAAAATCATACTGCCTATAAGTGATAAATTGAATTAAAAATTTTAGAAAGGCATATTATAAAGTAGAAGAAAGGAAAACAGTATAATGTAATAAGGTGAACAACAAAGAAAATACATTTTACAAATTCACTCTTTCTTTTCAGAACATTTAAAAGATGCTTCAAAGAAGATGAAAAGTGGCCTTATGTTTGTAAAGTTGGTTAACCCATGCTCAGGTAATCTTCCCCACTCTGTTCTCATCCCATCTCCTCTCTTTCTTGAATGTTTTTTCATTAACACTGTGGCTGATAAGTGTGTATGACACTTATTGCCTGTGTGTCTTTTTTCTGAATAAAGCTTTTAAAGTTGAAATGGCATCATGAGATGATGACATTACTACTCTTCCCAGATAATTCATTTGACCTAAACATTTAAAAAAAAAATCTCGTCTTATAATTTTAATCCATAGAACTTTTTAGTCATTCGAAATGTTGGCAAAACAAAAAAGTAGCATGTTTGAATTCTCTCTGAAAACAGATTAATTTTCTTTGGCTTCCCTAAGCCAACTTCTCTCAGAATAGTTATCTAACATTAGCCTCCATTTATGCTCATTTTATGTTATAAAGTAAAACAAACAACCAGAGTAAAAAAACAGAAGGCTTTACTTGACATGCCAAGAATTTGATTAGTTTCAGTTTTAGCTTTACTTTCTTTCTTTTATTCTGACCAACAAGTAGTACTTTTTTTTGTTGTTGTTGGGGTGATTTTTATTTTTTATTAAAAGCATTGTGTGCTGAAGAGATTCATATTGTATTTGGAAGGAATTTAACTTTGCTTTATCTTCTAATTTTCAGTTTTATTTTAAGGCAAAAATATTAAAGTATACTCGAGTATGTAGTGATTGGTGATATTTATCTTTGTGTAGAATTGTTTTCTATTTATTTATAAGGTTTTGAATAAAGATACCTGATATTTAGCAAATTAGAGCATTCTCGTGGTGACCAAATAGAGATATCGAGGGACAACTGACAAGTAGTGCCTTGTTGGATATGTAAATGAAAGCAAGGGGAAAAAAACAAACAAACAAACCTGACTTCCCCAAAATGAAATTGAGTATAATCATTAGCTATGTTATTTGGACCTCTTTGTTATGCATAAGCCTAAGTTGTGAGAAATATTTCTTCAAGGGAAGTTTTTGGTAGCAGTAAAGGTTCAAAAGCACTTAACAAAAATAAAAGTACAAAAGAAAGCCAGCCTTCTTCTAAAATTCCTGTTTTATCTAAATGTGGTTAGATTACACAGGAACAAATATTTTTATTTGCTATATTGGCCATGAAAAAAATAAGGGCCAAGCTAAGCACTTACAATGTTTTAAGAGATTTACATGTATTATATATTTTCACTCTGGAAAAGTGTGATGAAGTTGATTCCATATTGCCCCATATACAGATGTGGAAGCAGAGAACCAAAAAGGTTTATGTAACTTTCCCAGTGGTGACACCCAGCATGTGCCAGAGACAGATTCAGAGTCCCGGAGATTGTGCTATGGTTGGAAAAAAAAAAAAAAAATTGAATCAGGGGATAAAACCACAGGCTTTACCCCTCCTATCTTCTCCCCTCCCCTTTTTAGAGAACAAAGTGGAAAAACCCATCCAGTTGACTAGGGCTTGTCTGACTCCCTGTGGCCTTGCCTTTCTCACTTAAATGGGCCTGCAGGGTCTTAGGGCTTGGTCCTTATTTTAGTCTCTGTGTTGGAAACCACATACTAGTCTGGAGACAGGAACCCTTGCACTAGCTCAGACCATCTGGCCGAACTGTTAGGGTTTGGTAGTTTAGGAATGGTTTTCCTTACTAATCTGATAGTAGGTTCAGTTAGAGGCTTTGTAGCAGTTAAGATAAATGACTTGCATGTTCTACTTTTATGGTTTAACTTCAGTGAGGATTACAGAGCTGGGAAATAAGCACCCAGGTATAGTAGCCAAAAGCTTTCTGTGGAGTCAGTCTGTATAGAGTATATGTATGTATGTTTATGTTCATATTTTGAATATTCCTCAGAACTGTTGGATAGACTTTGATGTGCATGTGTGCATGTGAGAAAACTTGGAAATAAAAAACAAATTTGTCTTACAGGAGAAGGAGCCTTGTACTTATTCGACATGTGTCTCCAGCAGCTGTTTGAAATCAAAGTTTTCAAGGAAAAACACCATTCTTGGTTTATAAATCAATCAGTTCAATCAGGTAAGTGACTAGTGTATATATTCCCAGTAACTAAATGTATACTTTAGCTTTTCCATCCTTCTCACATGGGGTTTGTGAGTCCATCCACCTGGTCTGGCATGTGGCCAATGGTGTAGCCTTTAGTGCATCAGAAAGGGGTTAGTCCAGGGGAAAGGAAAGATCGTTTGAGACTAAGTTAGGTCATCGCTGTGTGTCTCAGAGAGTGGAGAGTTTTAAACTAACAACTCTGATTTGTGTGCTACAGCACCAACGCATAATTGAGCAGATGACCTTTGAACCATGAAGTGCATGTTGAATTGACTTCAAACTCTTCTGAGGATCTTCACGTTTTTAACATTTCATTTCCTGGAGCATACTAATGTAGCTTCTAAAACATTAGAATATGACAATTTTTGAAATGCTTTGTCATCTAAATTACTGTCCCTTCTATAGTAGTCAGCTTTCTGTTACTGTACCAAATACCTGAAAATAGAAGCTCACAAAAGAGAAAAAGTTTATTTGGGTTTGTAGTTTTGGAAGTTTCGGTCTGTGGCTCATTCACTCTGTTGCTTTTGGCCCTGTGGTGAGGCACACATAATGGCATCCTTGATGCCATATGGGAATGTGGCAACCACATTCTCCTTTTAGGGTCCTCCCCGCAGTGACCCAAACCTTCCACTAGGCTCAACTATAAAGGTTCTACAGCTTCCCAATAGGGCCACTCTACAGAACAAGCCTTTAACATGTGGTCCTTCAGAGACATCCAGATTCAACTATAGCACCCACACCCACCCACATACATACATACATGTACACACATGCATACGCATACACAACACCACCATGGCCAAAATTCTAAGCTCAGTGGGGAAAAGGATACCAAGAGAACCATGTTCTGATGCATGTTCTGGCAGGTTGGTGTGGGGCAGTGGATGGATATCTGCAGCATTCTGAATTCCCTCTGCCTGCACCCTCATTGTTTCCAGAAAGTGCTTTCTGCTTCTCTATACATCTTCTGCATTTTGTTGGCTCTGTCACCACTTAGTGCTGAGGAACAAAGACACCTTTGCTTGCCTTGTAAGATAGTCCCAATGAAAGATTATTGCTTGTGATAAATTTTATATACCTATGTACATGAGAAATTTGAAACAGTTTTCAGCTGCCAGATGGAAACTGTAGTTTGCATATATCCTGGTAGGTGGAAAGCGTGTGCTCTCTGCCACTGTCGTTGCCATGATTATTCATTCGGCAGTGTATGAGTTAGAACTTCTAAGGCCACACATTTGCAGTTGGTGCTAGCTAACAGATACAGAAATACCCAGATTGAAACTGGAAAATTCTGGGATTTAGCAATTCATCCTCTGTCCTGAACAATCTGTGTTGGTACCTGCCTTTTTAAAAAATTTTTCTTCCTTTTAAAAAAAATAAGACTATTTCTTTAGAGCAGTTTTAGGGTGGTAGCAAAGATACCTGCTTTTTCTTTTTGTTTAATCACCGTTGTCTTCTTTTTAAACTTAATCATAAAGAAGGAGCTGTTTTTAAGAATAGCCACCACAATATTATTGCTAGACCTAGAAATCTGTTCCTAATTTCTGCATATAATGGATGCCTCATGTAAAATGAGCTTAGAGTTTCTGATAGGCTATTTTCATGAATTTCTGCTTTTTAAAAAAATAATCACATGGTGTCATAATATAAAATCACTTCCTTAATTTTTTTTTTTTTTGGCTTACTACATACATATAATTTTAAGTACAATGCTTCCTGAAACCAAAATAAAAAGGTTGGGTGAAGTAAATGAATTGTTTATTGTTTTGATTCTGAGGAAGGAGGGCCTGGGATGCTTGAAGAGGAGTTTGGTAGAAGAATCTTGAGAGAGTTGGGAGCCTTTTTTGTACTCGCCTGCTTTCCTTTCTACCCAGAGAGCAGAATTTTCAAGAGTTTGCCTGTGTTTGATTGACTGTCCACTTGCCTTTCTCTTGTGCGCAGGGGCTGGGGTTGGGTGGGTCTGTCGTGGTGAGCTCCATGATGAGCTTTGAGTCATTGGCACTTTCTCTCCTACTGTGAGCCCCAGACCATCCTAGAAGCTACATCAGGAGAGTGATTGAGCTTTCCCATGATGTCATCCTCAAAAGCCTCTGATTTACACTTCCCGGCAGCTTTACAGGTAGCCTGACTTACACAGGCTTCCTAATGTTCTCTGGATCATACTGCCTCTGTGCTTCTCCCAACCTCCACTTTTTTGGGGAGTAGGGAAGGGGAGCTCTCTAAAAAATGATATTTAAAGAAGAAATGGAAAGTTAAAATTCTATTTCAGGGTCTTAACTCTTTTCTTCACCCAGATTTGAAGCTCTTTGCAGTAAAATCTCAAGGAGTGCATTCTATCTTTTGAGAGATCTGTTTGATCATGAGAGACTTTAGATTTAAGGTAGAAATCTAAAGGCAGTAAAACCTGAGGAATCTGATCTGAAGAAAAATGAGAACATTGAAATCAAGCTATTTCTTGTCACTTACTAACCTAACAGAAAGTATGAGAAGCTGTCATGCATGCTACCAAATGAGTAGATATTTTAGGCCTGTGTAAGAGCTTCTGAATTTGGGATTTTATATATGTATTTCAATAAATGGTTGTCATGTTGAGCTTGAGGTGAAATAAGCAAGTTGTCCTTTCAAGGAGTACAGTTTTCTTCTTTCCTTTTTAATTTGCAGGAGGCCTTCTCCACTTCGCCACACCCGTGGATCCTCTATTTCTGCTCCTTCACTACCTCACAAAGGCTGGCAAGGAGGTGAGCTGCCCAGTTTGGGGCATTTGCTGTGAGGGTACAGAAGAGACTC